TCATTCTCTTTACTTAAGTTTAATCGTCCCTCTCCCAACATCATATGCTTATAGTGATTCTCAGTGAAACCCACTATCCAGAATTGCTATAACACTATATACTGAACTTTAATTGAACTCGAATCAGACTCAAACTCGTATAACAGTTCAATTTGAGTTCAGTTCGAACTTTGAATCTTTCTTGAACTCAAGTCAAATTTTGAACTGAACTCAAATTCAGATAAAAGTTCAGTTCAGTTTGATTCATAGAAATACTAATTTGAAATTAAATTATACAAATTATTTTAATTAAATAACTATTTTCAACAAAATAAAGATTAATAATATAACAAGATATAGTTAGTTATTTTGTTAAAATAAAGATTAAACTTTATTGATTTGTTCAAAGTATTAAAATATAAGAAAATATATTAAAATAGTACTTTTATTTATATAAAATTTTTAATATATTTTGATACTATTTATATTATAAAAAATAAATAATATATTTCTATAATTTAAAAATCTTAATAATATTTTTTTATAAAGATTTAACTATATAAAAAAATTAATTAAAGAATAAAAAATATTATGAATTTTAAAAAAGAAAAGATAATATAAAGAACAAAATAAAAATATATATAACAAATATAAATTAAAGAAAATAAATCATATAATAACTAATAATAAATTAGAGATAAGTAAAAAAGAATTGAATGAAAAAGAATAAAGAAAAGTTGAATAAAAAATAATGAGATAATAATAAATGAAATAATTCAGAGAATATAAAAAATAAAATTATGCTTTATTAAAAACTAAAAAATAATAATTAATATAGAAAAATAATAATTAATTAGAAAAATAAAGTGAGAATTATATATAATAGATAAAATATCAAAATCAAGTTATTATAATAAATATGATTCAAATGATTTATTAACTAAAATAATTATTAATTCCAAAAAAATTATGAGTTTTTTTAATTAACAATTATCTAATTCTAATATATTAAAAAATGCTTCTAATAATTCAAAAAGTGGGATTATTAATTTGTATATTTATCAAATAACTAAAAAAATAAAAAATTTAAAAGAATATTTAAACAAATATAATTATAAAAGAATAATATTTAAATATCTTATTTTATTAAACTATAATTATAATTATAAATATAAAAAAATTAATATTAATTTAAAGATTGCTCAAAAAATTTTTATTAATAATAATATATAGAAATTATAAAAAATTCATAATCTTATAAAATACTAATTGTTTAATAATAAACTTTCAAAGTCTAAATATGAAAAATACCAAAAAATAATTAGAGTAATTAATAATTAAAATATTATAAAAAGATATTATATTTAAATTAAAGAATAAAATTTCAAAGCTATATTAGTAGTATTTAAAAAATATAGTCAAATCTCTCTATAATTATCATTCTTGAAAAAGCAAAATCTGGTAATTATAGAGAGAATTGACTATAGAGAGATTTTTTATTATATTTATATATAAATAAAAAGATGTAACTATAAATAGATATAACTATAAAAAGATATGACTATATATTATTTTCTAATATTAAAATTATCAAAAAAAACTATCACTTTAATGATAGCAATAAATTGATTCAAGATTTTTGATTATTTATTTTAATAATATTATTGAAAAATATATTATAATAAATATAAAAAAATAATATTCTGCAATATTAAAGCATATTTTTAGAAAAAATATTTGAGCATGAGAAATATATATTAAAATATAAAGATGAATTTATAAATCAAATTTGTTTTAATTTATCTAAAGAAAAAAAAGAAAGTTCTTGTAATTTATAACAAATGCATTTTTTATTCAAATAATAATAAATATAAAGTATAAACTAAAAATAAAAAGATATTACTAAAAAAAGAAAATAGAAGATTAATTATAATTAGTAAATTTTAATTGAAATTAATAGATATTTGCACTTATAAAATAAAATATTCTAATATACTTAAAAAAGCATAATGTTATTTAAAATTTAATATTAATTAAATAGTTATTAAATAGCAAAGTATCTTTTTGAACAAATTAAATATAAAATAATTTCTATCTTTAAGATATTATATTCAGATTATAGATTATATTTACTTGTAATAATAGCTTTAATTATACTGTATTTAGCAAAAATACTTTAATTATAAACTAAAAAACTTAAATTAGGTGACAAATAATTAATTATATGAGATATTTTCTTTGATCCAAATAATTAATTATAATTAATAGTGTTTTTAATAATATATTCAAATAAAAAACTTTGAGATATATCTAAGAGAATTAAATAAATATTAATAGAACAAGAAAAATGATTAATTGAAAGATTAATATTAAAATATAACAAATACAAAATAAAGAGTTATAATATTTTAAGAACTTCTTGTTGTATGTATCAAGTAATATTTCTGGAATCTGATTTTCTCACTTAAAAAGATATAATTGAAAAATTAATTGAAAATACAAAATATAAGTATATTTTTTCTGAAGTTTCACTATAAGTTAAATTTTATTGAGAGATATTAAAATATTATAAAAAGATATTTATATAAAAATTATGATTATTCATGAATAAAATTACAAAAAATAGTATTTAAAAGTCCTGAAATAATATTTCTAATAACTATTAGAAAGTTTTTGAGAAAGTATTAATAGTATATGAATTTATATAGAAAAGATCTTAGTAAAAAATTAATAGAATATGTGATAAAAAATATAATAATCTTATAGAAGCATTTCTGATAATATTTTAGAAAAGTTAAATAGATTAAATAATATTTAAACTTTGTAATATGATGTATATAATTGTATTAGTCAATAAAATTAAAGCATATAATTAAAATTACATAAAGATTATCATTTAAAATTTTGGACTAATTTATATTTTTGATGAGTATAGATTTTATATATTATACAAATTGCAAAATATAATATCAATAATTAAAATCAAATTATGACTTATTTATAATAAAGATTTTCTTTTATTTGTATACAAGCTTTGAAGTTGATTAATAATAACTATATAATTACAAATAAGTGATTATTTACAAGTAAGAACTTTTGATCAGAGCATATTTTTTTTCAGGAATTTGAGAACATTTCTATATATATAATTTTTTAATTGCTATATCAAGTACAAATTAATATTACACTCAATACAATCTAAATGTTCTTTTTCTAAAAAATAACTATTTAGTTATTATTTAATATTTCTTTTCCAGTGATGATATAACACTTAAATAAATTGATTGATGTCCCTCCATGTTTTCAAAGCATTTCACAATATTACAAATATTATTCACATGTCTTTACATTATACACATTATTTAACCACATCTTTACACTATGAAATTTAAAGAGTGTTAACTGAAATGATCACTGAAACTCACACCCAAAGAATGACAGATGTCCAAAAAATCTTTAAATAATGTGTAATAGACAAAAATGTTAAACAATGAGTAGCATTATCATTTAGAGTATATAATTACTTTGAAAATAACTCTCACTTTGTTAATTGCCAGGAAGTGGATCAGTTATTGTTTCCAGGAAATATTGGAACAATAGTGTTCTAACATTATATAATAATTTGTGTGATGAGATAGCTATAGAAAAGATGGTCATGTTAAAATAAACTAAAAATTATGGAATTAAAGAAATTAAGGTTACTACGGTAACAATACATTACTGAAGCTTCATTGATTATTGAAAGTTGGATTGACCAGTATACTTTCTCGAAACCCTTTGTTAAGCAATTTGAGATCGTTGAAGAAGAAAGAATGCAACAAACTAAGTCTTGTCGTCTAATTCACAACAAATGTGCTCATATAAGTCGTCCTCTTATAGCAATGATAGAGAAGCAACTACGTATAAACATAACTGATTTATTATTAACTACAGAAATACAGGATTTTTTAGCATTCATAATTTAAGGGCTTAATATCGATATAAAATAAATAAATTTCTTTTTGATTTGCACATACATGTACATCATAACGATTACGACAAATTGATTACTTCGCTACAACATTAACAACAATCAAATCATTCTTTTGTGCTTTTCCTTCCACCGCATCAATATACACTAAATTACCATCATGCGTAATCTTAACCTTTTCTGCAGGAGCAGCTGTAATATTCAACCCCTTCGGATAATTATATGTAGTCTGAACTCGAATCACTGTTGGTGCTTTTATAGACGGATCTATCTTATAAACCAGATAGAAAGAGCTATCGGTATCATTAAAGAAAAAATTTCGAGTTTTACCGGCGACCGATTCTGGATATGTGCGCGAAAATAGTTTTGCCATTTCGGGACGTATTTCACCGGTGTCTTTGTTGATGAGGCCTTCGTCGCTAACGCCTGGTCGAATAGAGAGTCGTTGCGAGAAGAAGTCTTTGTATTGCCAACCAATCCAGGAGACGAGGTATTTATCAGCTTTTTGTATAACGTTGAGAATATCAGCGACTTCTTTTCCGCTATTCCACGATGAATCGAATTCAGTAAGCTTTGTAAAAACATACAATAAATTTATTAAGTTGACAGATTGATACTTTTAAAATAAATAAACATCCACCTACCATTTGACCACCACCAGTCCTTTTGATATCTTCTGCTCTCTTTACAAACTGAACTTCAACACCAGTGATGTGAGGAAGCTTGTAATAATGAAAGCTTAACGCGCTCCTATTTTTGTAGTTATTACCACCAGGAACAGAGAGCGCATTGCCAAAATTATCCCATGTTACGCCTGTATAAAAAAGGACAGATCTATCATCTACTTTTCTTATGGCAGTATTTACGCTGTCAAGTAGCCTTTGGATATTTGTCGACTCGGCAGCTAAAAGAAATGATGAATCAATTAATTCTAAATTTTTTCTTAAAGAACTATTTAAAACTTACTTTTCGGCTCTAAAAGTTTAGGATTTGCAAATATATTTCCCGCCCATGGTTCATTTATAATCTCATATCCGAGCACATTATCTACGTCCTTGAATTTTTGGGCAATGTAAGCCCATTGTGCAGAGAATGCATCTAGAAGTCCATTACGATTATCGTAAAGATTCTGCCAGGCAACCGAAACTGCATTACTTAAGTATAGAGCTGGCCAATTTAATGGACAAATAACGGGATTTCCGTCTTTATAAGATGGGGGTAAGCTAATTGGGAGTGGGAACGGAATCAAGCCAACTATAGATGCCCAATTTGGAAACTACAAATACAGTATCAGTGTTAAAAAGAATAAATTGTCAAATTGCATCGAGACGACAAGAAAATTGCTTTTATATACTTGCCCCATCACCGCACAACTTTTCCGACATAACATCCTAATAAACAAATGTATGAAATTATAAATCTATCGAAATAAGTGTTGAATAAAATTTATTTACCTGATGAGAGTCCAACAACACATAAATTCCGTACTTTTTACAATTATCTACGATCCCACGAATTACATCCAAATATGTATCATTGTATTTTCCTTTACTTGGCTCGACAGCTGCCCATAATACACCTAATCGGATTACATTCATATTAACTGATTGAAGTATCTGGAAAATAAATAAATCAATTAGTTAAAAATTGTATACTGTAATATGTATTTTAATATCAAAAGAATACAATAATTACTTGTGCGTCTTTTTCAGTAAACGATGTAGTTGCATTGAATTTATCGATTACCGGGTAATATGGTGCTCCTTTATAGACCTAAATTCAATAGTAGATATCAATTTTGTTGTTGACGTAGTGGTAGAGTCAAAATTATCAAAAGATGAAACTTACCACACTCAAACCACGAAAGAATTTCTCCCTACCGAATTTATCCAAGAATTGATGTGTATCTTGGTCAACGCTAATAATTCGTGATATATTATCCGACTTTCCAGACTCGGCGGATACATTATTATATTCCGACACATGCAGTATAAAAACGACGAATGAAAATGCCAAAAGGCCAACAGAAAATCTTGGTATCAGTATTTTATATCTATGCATTACTGTATTTACACATTGGATTTCGATTATAGGTCCTCAATTTTTAACAAGATCTATTTCACAGCTTTTATCTCTACAGCAGACCGGGCTGTTGAAATACACATTCAAAAGATCTCGATGAACATTTCCCCGGGGGGGGGGGGGGGGCGAAGCGTGTTAATTGATTTAAAGATAAATATTTTTCGGAAAATCTCGTGAACAGCCACTTTTGTTTGTAAAAACAAGCAATTATTCTATATGAAGCCCCAAAATAAATTATTTGCTCTAAGCAAAGAATACAATTGTTATCCTCATAACATTCAATAATTGGTCAAAATTTTTCATACACAATTGAAATCAATAAAGACAAAAGTGACAAAATTAATCGCTTTCGTGACCATTGTCACCCTCATCATCAGAGAAATTATTGTTAGGTGGCGGGACTCGAGTGGCAGTGACTTTTCTTTTGGTCACTCCATTAGATTCTAATAACAGATAATCATAGAATAAACGTGCACAAATAAACAATGTAATCATAAATTCATTATACACACCCTTTTTATCGTCTTTTTTTGGTAGCAATGACGAATGAATATTAGGCAAAACACCACCCTGAGCAATAGTCACATGACCCAATAACCTGTTCAATTCATCATCGTTACGAATAGCCAATTGCAAGTGACGAGGAACGATTCGTGATTTTCTGTTGTCGCGTGCCGCGTTCCCGGCCAATTCTAGTATCTCGGCCGCGAGATATTCAAGTACTGCGGCCAAGTATACTGGCGCACCGCCGCCAATGCGTTGTGCGTAGTTTCCTTTGCGCATCAAGCGATGAATACGGCCAACTGGGAACGAGAGTCCAGCCTTGTTGATATGGGTGATATAAATAATATAATAAGAAAATAAAACACTTCATTATTAATATAAAATTTAAATATATTTGCTTTCATTTTTAGTTAAAATAGTCAGAGTCGTACTTTCTTTGAGCGCGAAACAGGCGCGGCACGGTCACCATCTTTTGGTAAATTCACGAACCCCTTCCCTTTTCCTTTTCCTTTGCCAAGTCCTTTGCCCGACATAATACAATAATAGGTAATACTGGATGTTGAGTATTTTATTTAGTGAATTGATTGGATTTATTATATATAAAGAAGACAGAATAATTTAATATAAAAAATCTACCTTATGCCAAAGTTAAGAATTGATGTATGATGAGAGTGTAATATACGAAGCCTAGTATTGATTTATATATGATGATAAATTCACACTATGTAATAATTTTCCTAAAAAATCATTTTAGCTAAAATTGTTGTAGCAAAGTGTTGATGCATAATTTACATTGTAATAAATAAGAAAAATTGCTGCATGAATCGCTTTGATTTGATTAAAATCATAATAAGATAAAGTAGGCTTTTAACATGGGAAACACATGAATAATGTAATGTACCGTAAAGCGTTGCATAAAGTAACCTCCCCCCCTTTTGTAAAAATCTCAAGGCTATAATTAGTAATAAAAATATCGAAGAAATTGTACCGTGAATATTGTTTCATTAGTTTTGAAAAATAATTTGGATTTACTAAAAAAAGCTTTAAATTTCCTAGCAAAGGGGGAGGAGAATGATATATAATTTCTTGTAAGAAAACAATGGAACTGGTAAATTTAAATAAGGTATTTTATTTTGCTATATATTTAAGGCTTATGTTTATTTGTATACGCCGCTATAATAATAAACTAGTGTCGGCAAAACCAATTTGATTTTCAACTTAAGGTTTCGCTCGGATAGTTCAATAGTTTCGTCCAATATTTAAAGATAAATACGCATTTACTCTCAATTGCTCGCTCATTATTTCTTTTTACTCATACAACTCAAATACAAAATTTCTTATGAACAATTTCTCTTATTCCGATTATCCCTTCTGTAGAAAATTTCATCCTTAATTTAGCCTTACGATGTTATTGATTTGGAGGGGGAAGTACTTCAGTTCGCAAACTACGGTATGCAAATTCAGACAACTATTGAGAAAGATGGTCACCGGTCCTAAAAGACTGCAGTCTTTGCAATTTAGTCTTAATAACAGACGGACCAGTCTTTTTGTGTAGGGCTGCAGTTTTTTCGGTTCTCGTGATTATGAGAAAAAGACTGAAAAAGGCCGATTTAATGTGTGATCATTATCGTTATACGCGAATCGATCTTTGATTTTAAACTAAATTATTTATTTACAGTCGCATCTCGTTATAGCCACTCTCTTTCCCAGTAACAGCTATTATAAAGTAGAAGAAATTTGACCTCCAAATAATCTAATGCTACGCCACTGAAATTTAATATGCAGATATGAGTCACATGAAATCGATGAAAATCCAGCATTTAGAACATACACACCCCTACAGTATATTACTGGAAATTTAATATTGATCATTCAATGAATCAAATAAAAAATTATCATATTTATTAAACATATGATAAATTAAAGAAAAATAAAGTAGTAAATATATAGTTATATTGGTTCAAATTTAAAAATCTACAAATTAATATGACATGCTTTTGCCATTGGCTTCAATAACTTTGTCTATGCATCTAGATAAACTCAAAATTAACTCATGCAAAGTTTCCAAATCAATACTCATCTATTCCTCTTGTAGCATATGAATTAATTCTTGCTTTGATGTAGATAACAGTCTTTTTTTCGAATCTAACAATCCAATCCAAAAGTTGAATACCATGTGTTGATATTGTTACAAGTTTGTTCACTAATCATTAAATTAACTTACAAACTTGAACCTGGATTGGGAGAGAGTGATAGACTGATAAAAATATTAAAAGAAAAAGAAGGGGTATCTAAGACCTATACCAATTTTTACAAAAATTGTATTTTACTAAAAGAATAATAATGTGAGAGAATTGTGAAAAAGTAAAGATCAAAGAGGAGAGAGAATATAAAAGAATAATAAAGAGAATTTAAAAAGGATAATTCTCTATACTTGTATAAAGCTTTTTAGAGCTAAAACAATAATTATAATTAGTAATAACAATAACAAAGACTCTTTTACTTTGTTTTTCTCATGATTAAGGAATATTCATTAACAATTAAAAATTCAAATAATCCAAAAATAAAATACTTATAATTCAATTTCAATAATTTTAATACAGTGATTTGTTCAGCACAATATAAAGCTTGATAATCCAATAATAGCAATTTGTTCAGTACAATACAATTTAAAATTCAAAGTCAATAACAGTAATTTGCTTAGGACAATATAATATAAAGCTACTAGTAATTTAATAAGTTCAATATAATATAAGGTTACTTATACACAAGGTTTGAAGTATATAAAAAAATATAAGAGATAAAAAATGTTTAAAAGAAGATTTTTGTTAAGAGAGATTTTTATTTTCAATTATAATATATCAAGTTAAGACTCAAATAACATCTCTATTTATATATTTCTTGAAAATACAATTTCAAATAATAATAACTATCTGATTAATAATAAAATGATAAAAAATAAAAAGAAATAATAAATAATGAAATAAATAATGAAAAAAATGATAAATGATAAAAGTGATGAAAATAATGAAAAATAATTAAACTAAAGAAAAATGATAAATAATAATGAATAATAATAATAGAGAATAATCAAATTGATAAAAAATAATAAAAAATAATGAAAAGTGATGAAAAATGATGAAAATAATAAAATAATAATAAAATAGTAATAAAATAATAATGAAAAGTAATGAAATAATAATGAAAAGTGATAAAAAAATGATAAAATAGATATTTAATAAATTATTTTGTTATTTTTTAGAATTTACTATTTTTTTGAGAATTTTTAATATTTTTAATTATTTTTTGAATTCAGAATTTTCTTTGAATTTACGAAATTACTGTTATTACTATAATATTTGTTCTTTCTTGAGAAGATTTTGCTTTGCAAAATTTAGTTTTGAATATTTCTTGAATATTATCTGATATCATGTTGATTCAATTGATATATTTTATCAGATATTAGATTATGTGTTAACTGAAGAATCTTTTCTTAAGTTCCAAAAATTTTGAATATTTTTTTCATGATTGAATATGATTATTTATTTATTTTTTGTTTGATATTTTGATAAATAGTTCATTTAATTTTTTGAAATTGTTATTTATATTTGATTGGATAATTATGAAGTATTTTGAAGTATTGGATTAATCTTTGTATTTGGTTCATCTTTTTATTATAGAGTTTTTTTATCTTCTCTTCAAGTTCTAATTTCTATTCTTTATTGATTAGTTCAGATTATTGTTCTTTAATAATTTCTGTTATTGATATTAAGTTTACAAATTCAGCTAGTTTTATTATTTTTGTTATTTCAATGATTGATTTAGAAGGAATTATGATTTTTTTATAAAGGATTAATTAATTCATCAAAATCTTTAAAAAATTCTGAACAGTCAAATACTTTAAAAGAGAATACTGATAGTTGTGATTTAAAAATAATTATATCATCAAAAGAGAAATTGTTGAGAAATTCTGAATATTGATTGAGTTCTTGAGTTATCATATATTGTTATTGTTCATTATCATCTTTGATCATAACTTCTTGGATTAAGAATGAGATTATTTTATTTGGTTGATACAAGAATAAATCTTCTAGTATTTTGATAAAATATTCTTTCATGTAAAGATGGCGCAGCAACTGTTGCAACGTGGTGACAAATAAAGCATCACCTAGTTGCAACTAGTTGCGGCTTATAAAATTTTGGAGTTGCAACGTGTTGCAACGGGTGACAAATAAGCGTCACATACTTGCTGCGCCATCTCTACTTTCATGTGTGATAAGATTCATCCAGATAAAAATATTATAAATAAGAAGAAATAAAGAGTAAAATAATATAAATTAAAAAAGATTGTTAAAATAATTTTAAAAGAAAAATGGAATAATAGGTATATTTATAATATTTTTCAAAAAGGGAAGTATTATGATACTAAATTTATAATAAAAATAATGATAAGGAATTTACATATTGTTATTATTTTAATATGACTTTATATTTTGTCATGAAAATATACATGATAAAGTTAGGTGAAAGAGTTAACATATTAAATAACTTTAAGTTGAAAGAGTTTACTAAGTTATCTAAAGATAGATAATATATGTTGATTAGCTAAAATAAGATCAGAAAGATTCAAAAATAATTGTGTCTTTTATAATTTAATCTATAATAAGTTGAGCATTCTTTTAAAGTTAATTTATAAACAAGTAAGATATAATTTTTTTATTAATTCAATACTATTATTGACTTTATAATATAGATGAGAGATCAAATACAAAAATATATAAGATAATATAACTTTATAATAATGATGAGAGATTATAAAATAAATATAAAAATAACTTTGTAATTAAGATGAGAGATTATGAAAATACTATCTAAAGAATTATTAAAAGAATATAAAACTTGATTGATTTTTTTATTAATTAACTAATTAATTTTATTAATTTTTAAGCTAAGATACAAGCTGTATTTATAAATATTTGATAATTATAAAATGATTATTTAAAATAATCATTTAAAATATTTAAAATAATTGTTTGGAATAATTATTTACAATAATCATTCAGAGCACTTGAGATGATCAATTGAAATAATCATTTAAATACTCATTTAAAGTGATTATTTAAAGTGATCATGTAAAGTGATCATGTAAAATAATTATTTGTGATTATAAAAAAGATCTAATTACAACAATATTTTATTACTATTTCTGGTTCAAATAAAGTTAATTGTTCATGGAATATTTTTAATTGTATACTATTAATCAATTTCTTGAATAACTATTTTTGTTGATTTCACAATTTATATGCTCTATTCTAATAGATTTCATATATGTAGTACTATTTTTCTTTTCATTAAGATTTAAATTTGTTTCTATATTTGATATATTTTTTCATATTGTAGACTAAAACTTTGTTTTCAATTTTAATTGTTATATTTTTAGTTTTTTATTATGTCATTTTTTTGATTTCTCTTGGAAAAGATTAATATTTTTCTTGGTATTATTAACTTGTTTAGATAAATAATTAATTAAAGTAAATATTTTATTTAATATTTATTCTTTTATTTTGACTCCTTTTTCGAGTGTTGTTTTGAATTTTAATTTTATTAATAATTGTGCTTTTCTTTTATAAGTTAGAAAGAAAGATTTGTATTATATAATATTATTTTGTAAAGTTTAATAAGCAAATAATATAGTTAAGATATGATTATCCTATTCTTTATTTAAAATAATAGTAAGTTTTTGTAATGTTGTTAATAATATTCTATTGAATCATTCTATAATTTCATTTATTTGTGAATAATATAGTAATAAATATTTGTATTGTATTTCAAATTTACTAATAAGTTCTTTCATTATTTGTACTATAAATTCTATTTCTTGATCTGATTGTAATATTTTTAGATATTCATGTTGATAAATAATCTTATCAAATATAAATTTAGCAACAGTTGTGACTTTTTTATTGAATATCACTTTTACTTCAGGCTATTTTGTTAGATAATCTATAATAGTTATAATATATTAATCTTTCTATTGAGTTAATTGCAAGATTTAATAAGATTTATTATAATATAATTAAAAAATTATTTAATTTTAATTGAATATAAAAGTTTTTTGAATTATTAACTTTCAGTAAATTAACAGATAGAGCAAGATTTTACAAAATCTTTTATATTGATTTCCATTTTATTTTATCAATATGTATAGTAATTCATTAATAAATTTTATTATATCTAAATATTCAGATAAAAAATCTTCATATAATTATTTCTATTTCAATTTCTTTTAATACTTGAAGTGGATTAATAGTTTCTTTTTATTAATTGATTTTAAATAATAATCTATTTTGTATGACAAAATATTTAGATTATTATTGTAGTTATTTTTTTGTTATTTAGTAAGAATTTAGTTATAAGTTCTATTATTCAAAAATTGAAGTAGGTTGTAATATGTTGTTAAGTTCATTTTTAATAGTGTTAATTAGTTAAGATTTTAATAATTAGCAAAGTTTATTCAGGATAGAGTATCAGTATTTTGATTTACTTATCCAGATTAATAACTAATTATAAAGTTATATTCTATTATTATAGTAATTCATCAGGATATTCTTTATGTTAAATTTATTTGTTTGATAAAAAGTTATCATAGTATATTATATTCAATTATAATTTCAAAGATTATTTCAAATAAGTAATATCTAAATTGTTAGATAATTCAGACTATAGTTAGAGCTTCTTTTTTAATAATATTATATTGAGTTTCAGCTAGTTTAAGAAAAATACTTGAATATGCAATTACATTTTTCAATTTTAATCACCT